TGTCGTTTAAACGAACCTTTGTGCTAATATTTATGTATCTAAAGCTGGCGGCATCAACTCACTCTAAAATATCTAAAAACGTAATATATAATCTAACTGACACACCACTGACAATGACAACTAATTTATTTCTGGAGGTATTGTGTGTAGGTGTTTTCAGGTATGTTTTAGTATTTAGTCGTTTTACACAAAGAAATAGCCATTAAGCACTATAAAAATACTTCATAACAAATCTACACATATATACCTTTCATTTAAAAAAAGAATCATCAAGATTGGTAAAGCGCTTTCGGCGGGATGGATGCAACAAAAAAACCCTTTGAGCTTTTATATATGTATGGACTAATTATTTTTCCAACATATTTTACTTTGCAAATTTTTATAAATATTCAGACTCGCCAATATCGTACTCCACCGTGTCCAGCCTGTTTAGCCAAACGTAGGCCGATTCCTCTTCGGCGGCGTCGTGACCCTGGCCGAAGGAAGAGTCTTGAAGACGCTCATCCGCGCATAGGAATAAGTTGACTGCGTAGCGTATTGCGTATTAATCGATTCTGAAACTTTCTATCTCGTGTATAACATGTTACGCAAGTTTATTATTTTAATCTCGATTTTAATAGATAAATGTGTGAAATGCCACCTGAATATCTTCCGCCATGACATGTTTTTACTTTTTTGTTATGGTAAAGTGATTTGTATAAACTTTATTCAATAACGTATATTTTCCTCCATTTGTGATTTTTTAATTTTAAGCGAAAATTAAGTATAACATTTTAGGAAAAAGAAACACTGTAATATTTAAAAGAATAAGAAGAAATTAGTCTTATTTTGAAAGGAAAATATAGAAAAAACTCTTTCTATAGAAAAAGTCTTTATACTAACCAGAATCCGGTGACATATACGCGGTCTCACCGGAAACATTACTTATTACTTCGCATAACTTGAAGAATATCTACTTTTAATAATGAACACTTCAGAAATACACCAGTAAAAACATTTATTATTTGAGATTAAAACTCGAATTAAATTATAAATATTAGTTACCTATGTTGTTATAGCTTTTATAGGCCTGTTTAACGACTTAATAAGTTACCTAGCGAAAAAATCTGTGCGCGTACCTACCACTATTGTTACAGGTTAATTCGTTAAAGAAATATGTTACACAAGTTAAAAACGCTAAAATTTTAATGGTATTACTTGTGCATTATTGGCCTTATAATGTAATTTGTTGGAATTATATCTTCTTTAAATATAATTAGACTTTTTAACGACTTTTAAGTTACCTAGGAAAAAATCTGTGCACGTACCTACCAGTATTGTTACAGGTTAATTCGTGAAACAAATGTGTTACATATTATTCGTGGTATTAGTGGTATTATATTGGAATCAGCTTGGCATTAGTGGGGCATTATATGAGAAATTTTGGTATTTAATTTGTATTTTGGCATTACTTTGGCATTAGTATAAAGACATTTGTCAGCGGTTTACTCCTTGTAGATAATCAAAAAGTTTTTTGATAAAATTTGCTTTTTATGTCAGATCATTTCTATGAAAAATTACATTAGATTTTTATTAAAGACGCTGGGTAATTAAAACATTGACTAATAAACCTTGTCCACTTTAAATACGGGGTCACGAAATATCCTCCTTGGAGTGTTTGGGTTAAGGGGTGTATAATAAATTAATCGTTGTTTTATAATAAAAACCATAAAACATTTATTTGTGAGTAAAATAATGCAATGGTTGGATATCTCTCCTTTATAATTCGGTGACTAAAAATACACTAAAATAATTAGAAAAAAAATCTTGTACTTATTTAGTAATTACGTCAATATTAATTAATTGACTTTCTAGTCTATTTTATTTTATGTACAAATATATTATTAAATTTTAAGCATTAAGTAATAAAACACTTTGTGCCCTCTTATATCGTAAAAGGTTACGAAATATACTCCTGGTTACACCCCTTACAGAAAACAGTGTAAGGGGTGTAAATAAATTGTATAATCACTGTTTTTTATAATAAAAACTATAAAATATTTCTTATTTGTGAGATTAAAAAAACAAAACAATGCATTGGTTAAAATAAGTACATTCAATACTGTTTTCAATTGTTAATTCAATAATGTGTTATAACATAATATAGCCATTACTATTATACTATTATTATTAAAATAATATGTGTGTAACATATTTCTTTAACGAATTAACCTGTAACAGACATTTATATGCCCAGTATATTTTTGTTTAACAAACCAATCAGGAAAAATCCAAAACCTACCGTTATAGGAGGTATAAGACGATTAAACTTATATAATGACAACTACTTATCGGATAACAAATTAATTACTACTGTCAGCTAGTTCAGCTACTGTCTAGGTAGAATTTACCTAGAGTACCTACACCTACCTATGATGATGTAGGTAGATTAAAGCTTATTTTGACGTTACCTCTCACTTCGGTGTCACAAGCTGAATTTTTCAGGGATGGAAGTACAGTACATCACAGTACATGATATGGGGACCCTTATTCCGAAAGTAGTACAAAATTAAACAGGGTAAAAAGGCACTATCATCAAAAATCGATATATTAATACCACCGTATAGAGAAAACAAATACTTATTTTTTGATCCAGTACAGAATAAAGTCTTCGTAGGGAGTAATTTTTTATAATTATTTACAAAAAAACATTTCCATTAGCGCTTATGACCAAAAAAAAACTTTAAACATGAATAATCATTTCAATCATGCGAAAATTTGGTTTAAAAATAGAGATTTTTTTTTAATATAACTTTCATTTAACGAAAAACGAAGGCCTAAATGAAAAAAAGAAACAATTTAAAAGTTTCGCTCATGTCTTGACAAGGTATCAAAGCAAACCCCATATTTTTTGCTTTTAAACTAATAAAGATATATCAATAAACAATTAGCGATGTAATGGTTTTTGCGCGCGCTGGCCGACTGCCGCCGCTGCGCCGAGATTTCCTATACCCTTGTATATATGACGTCATGGTGTGGCAAATGTAGCATTTTAATTCGATTTGGGCTCCCTTATATAGGATAACAGAAACATTTTCAATGTTAAAACAATCACTCCTAGACATCGTTTAGCAGTTTTTTTGAGGTAAGATGCTAATAAACTTTTGCAGCCCGTTCACACGGGGATAATTTTTTTTCTGGATCGTAATTTATAAGGAAACGTTATTTTTTTGTGGTGTATTGATAAATTTATCGTAATAAATAAATACCCTCCCCCCGCCCCCAACTTTTTTATTTGGCCTTTTTGGAGAAAATGTAGTCGCAGTTTCGGTACGTAGCTCTATGGTCTGGCCATACAGCACTGGATATTTCCTCACTTCTTCAATTAATTCCTCCGGTTTTATTGTTGACATTTTTTATTACTTTAGTAAAAAACTAAAAATAATACAACAAAAACAAAAATAAACAAAATAGTTCAAAACGACACTCGTCCCACAGCCGGCATCGACGAATAGACTGACAATCGGAACACGAACGGATGCAGGAACGGAGTCGAGTAGGAGCGGGGATGAATCACGTATCGGAAAGGTGTAAACTACGCTGGTTAAAATAACGTACGATTTCCCTCTCATACGGTCGTCCGACTGTATGATCGTGCATGATAGGTGTGTCCCGGCCTTAATACGAAATTATTTGAGTATGTAAGGTAAAACAAAATCACAACATATTTTCCAACTAGAAATTGCAACTACAAATTGACACATTTACCAGGCAAAGAGTGTCTTCGCATACCATTTTTTTAACTATTATTTTAGCGAGCTGCCTCGTAGATATTTAACTAACTTTTATGTAATTTTTGTGGTTGGCGTGCATGGAAAAATATCCATTGATATTTTCGTGTAATCAACTATCTTTATTTTTAACAAAAGACTTTTTAACCTTTTAAATGTAAGATTTGGTCGGTTTAACATACCATATGATCGAAGAAACACGCGTTAAGTTGGCTTGGAAGTAACGATCAATGACATTTATCATAATAAATAAATATATAAAGCAAAGTCGAGTTATAAATTATGTTTATACCTTTGTGGCTTCAGTTCTTAAAAATAATTCAGGCAAGTTTGGTTTAATAGTAAAACAAAACTGACAAATTGGTTTCCGTTTAGTTCGATTTCAGTGCAGAGGTGTTTACAAAAAAAAATATTTTGTAGATTTTCTTCCAAAAATTCTTCCAAGAATTCTGGGATTTTCTTCGAAAATCCCAGAATTCTTTTTAAAAGAGTCTACTTATTATTATTAGTTCAACCATATATTAACTAAGAACTAGTGGAATGATTTTAATGATTTCTAGTTCATTTTTATGACCTTCCTGATGCAAATTATTTAACTCCTTTACAGGCAACCACTTTCTTAAATCAGCAATTTCTTTAATTTGATCTGTGATGCCAAGCACCTGCGCCTGATACAATTGCAGACCATATTAGGCCAATAATCTATGTTTCTTTGTCTCATAGTATACTACAACTCAACAACTCGTTGATTTATTCTCGTATTGTGTTACATACATAAAATTTTTTATTATCTAATATAACAATAATAAAACCACATATAAATCATTGGTGTCAAAGATGCAAACTCCTATAAGAGAATCCGCTATTAATACGTCAAGTAAAACGAAGGATTCCTGTACACTTCTAACAAGTTTTTAATCTGGACTAACTTACGCCTAAACTGAAAAGTATATTAGATCTCTATTGAGTTTTGATAAACTATATTTTGAACCCATGTTTCAAATATAATCGACAAATAGCAATCAAGGAACAATATGTGCAATTATGCATATATTCTCGTTTTTCGTACAACCTTTATTGTACACCAGTTATTTTTACTTACTACCAACCTCTATTCGAAAATAAGAAATAAACAATAACAATATATCTCTCTAGATAAGCAACAGCAATAACACTAGACGAAAACAATTTGATTTGGAAAGTCGAACGCGAGTCGCAAGTTGCCGACCACAAAACCTGGAACGAGCAGAAGTTTCTCGGACAGCGGTAGACGTTCCGTGCTTATCGCCGTCGTTATTGTTTATTATTAGTGACGGAGAATGCAGAATTGACAGCTCGTGACAATTTACGGAGAATCGTCTTCGAGGAAAGTGTCTGAAAGAGAAATAAGTGTGTGCTAGTTCGGAAACGAGTAGAAGTTTGGATAGATTTAAATCAAGAAGATTGAGGTGAGAGGGAAATAAAGAATAAAGATACCAACGTTCCAATAAAAAATTTAACGTGTATACAGGGTATACAGTAATATATGAGAAAAAATTCTCAAGGTGAACGCTTTTTGAGAAAATAACAAGAATTTTTCATATAAAACATTTCAGTTGGACGTTTTCCTAATACAAAATTATTTGATTATACAAGGTGAAACAAAATCACAATATATTTCGCAACTACAATTTGCATAGACATATTTACCAGGTAAAGAGTGTAATTAAATACCGTATGATCTGAAAAAAAACGTCGTGATGCTGGCTTGGAAGTACGATTCGATAATGATGACATTCACCATATAGGTATGTATAAAACAAAAAGGTTATATACCGGGTGCGTCTCAAAAATGGCTCACCCCTATAACTTTTTTTATTTTTTTCACATAAAAAACGAGATTTGGTATGTTAGTATATGACATAAATTAAGATTAATTCACGTATTCAATTGTTTTTAGTCACTTCCTTTTTCCCCGGAAATGACTAAAACTTTAGAATTTTAAATGGCGTCCTCGATATGTTTTTACTTTATTTGATAGAGAATGACACTCTGGATAGAATGACATATCATATGTCAACTTTTAACATTTCCTCATATAGTTTATTTGAGATTGTAACATGCGGTTCATAATGATAATCGACTCGAAAAACCAAGTGTAAGGTACCAAATTATTCGTAAAAAATGCTTTTTCCAAATATGCAAATGAGCCTGCATGCAAATGAGCCCTGGTTCCATTTGAAAAAATCAGATATCTATGACTAAAAACACCATTTGGGCATATTTTAACCGGTCAGGAAAAGACACGAAAAATATTAGACGATCAAATCTATTTTTCCAAGACTCCTTGATTAAAAATTAGTGCTTTAACATATATAATTTACATCTACAGAGCCATGGCAATGTAGATGTACATTTAAAATACGTTTTTTTTAAAGCAAAAATGTCAACAGTTGACATACCGTATGTCATTCTATTCAGGGAGTCATTTTCTATCGAATAAAGTAAAAAAATACCGAGGGTTTCATTTGAAAATCAAAAGTTGTAGTCATTTCCGATGACACAGGAAGCGACTAAAAACAACTGAATATGTCAATCAATCCTAAATTATGTCATATACCAACAGTCCCATACCCAACATACCAAATATTGTTTTTTTTATCTGAAAAAATAAAAAAATGTTATCGGGTTAAGCCACTTTGGACAACTTTTGTGGCGGTTTCAGTTCTTAAAAAAAAACACTGGCTAGCTGTTTTCGTTTGGTTTAGTTTGGTTTCAACCGAGGGATTTGTTGGAATTACACAAATTGTACATTTTCTTAGCTGTCGCTGGCAGTCGTTAGCTGTAGTCGACTATAATGATATGGCAGACTAGCCACTCTTCTTCGCAGTCATTGGCAGTCGCTTGGCAGTAAAATGATATTTTAGCAGTATATGTACATTTTTTACCCAAGTGAGACAGTCCTCGGTGTTGACGTAGTGCTGTTTGTGTATTTTTGATCTTGTAGATTTTCTGCCAGTTGCGAAAAACCAATAATTCTTTTTTTTTTCTCTAATTTGTCGGATTTTCCTCCGCCCGTAATAGCAGAATAACTTATTAAAATATCGAAAAATTCTGGAATTTTGTAAAAAATTAGGTTTTTGGATCTCCTTACATATTTGTAATAATTGATGTTCATTACAAACCAATAACATACTTGACCTTACATAATAGTAATTTAATGGAAAATACTGGTAAAATAACATATTCACATATTCAAACTTATGACATTCTCACAAAAAATGTTATAGTTTTTAGTATAAACCGTATTTGGAAAAAGTTAATGACATTATGACTTTCGTTCACCCTGTACAAGAAATAGCTTTATTTAGTAACGCTAATTAAAAAAAATATATGAGAGTCCCCTTATTTTAAAAAAGTATAAAAAATTATCTGAAAAAATAAAAAGTTATAGGGGTGAGCCACTTTTGAGACGCACCCAGTATACAAAATTATGTCAGTAAACTTTAACTAAGTTTATTAAACTAAGTTTGCCATATAAAAGCAATATTAAGGAATTAAATAAGTTTTACTTAATACGATAAACTATATTGACCTTATAAGACTCTTGCGAGCCAATGAAACTAATAAATCTCCAAATAACAGACTAAACTTGTCGAATTGTCCTTATTACGTCTTTTGTTGAAACTGAAATTGAAAAATAAAATACCTATATATCAGAATTACTTCCTCGTCGACAACAAAAGGAATATAAGCCAATAAGCCCTATATCACAATTGTTTCTTTTTAGAAAAGGAATAATTTTCTGCTCTTGAAATAGTTACTAGAGGGATAGACTAGGGATAGAATTATTATTAGATTCTTAGAGATAACTGTATTTTGTAATAACATTTAGTTTGCCTTAGTTCTTTTTATGTATAATCCAGTAAATGTATTATTATGTGTATCTTAATAAAAGAATAAAAATTTCGATAAACAATATATTTTTCATATACTGTTGTAGTTTGAGGTTGAAAACAAACACACACAATCTGCTTAATAACCTAAATTATTTAAAGAAATATAAAACTGTGACCACAAAATTTATCTAATATTAGACAGTATTAACAAATAAAACTGATATTATTATGGCGACTAATTTGATAAATAAGACTACTTATAGAACGTACATTATTAAACTAACTAACGTACAAACTGTTAGCATATTACAATACAAAATAAATAAAAAGTCTAGTACTTGTATACAGGACGAGATGACTCAATATATTTTCCACTATTTGAAATGAAACATCCTGTATCTATTATTAATTAACCGTTTTTACTGTACAGAGTGGTCGAAATTGGTCTGTTTTAACAGAGAAAACCTATTTCCTGACTAGATAGAGCAAAACCGACGTAGATGTCATGGGCTCGATTTCTGAGACACGTTTAATGGCGTAAACCGCCTGTTGATATTTTCACTGCCAACTGAGATACGGGGTCTTTTTGAAATTTTTACCATTTTGAAAATTACCCATAAGTACCCATTTTGCTCATATTTTGAACTTTACCCATTTTTTATTTCGCGGAATAATAAAATTCTGTAAAAACGTTCTTAAGGCATTTTTTTAAGCACAATCCAGTGGCGCAGTCAGTTTTTTTCTATGCTTGCTCGAGTTGTCAGAAATAATGAAAAATATAATTTTTTAAATGGAAATAATAGTTGGCTATGGACTTAAAAAATGATGGCGTTTAACCCTTTCCTACGATATAAAGTTATGAGTATCTATTTATAAGATCGATATCAAAGCGGAATAAGTGAAAAAAGCTCGAATTTGGCCTTGAAAAATTATTTTGGAATAAAATCTCCTATCGAAATCTTTCAATGTAAATATCCCGGAAACTATGCATTTCCAAAACACAGCTTAAATGGCGCGAATATAGAGTCCTACTAGCTCTATCGGTAGAGGCCTCATTGGTCGTTTATAGGGAATGCAATCCCGCAAATGCGGGATCCCTCTGAGATTCCGCGGGATCGAAGTTGCGGGATTTATCGTGTGGGATCCGCGGGATTGACACATAGTACTTGTGGATAATTTCGTCAAATAAACTGCCGGACATAATTATCGGGACAAGCAAAATTTTAGGGTAAATTTAAAGTTGAATATCTCTTGAACTAAAAAAGATTTTGGGATGCGGTTTGGCCCAGGTTTTAGATGGATCTATTGTTATTAAGATGCTATGTGGTTTTCGAAAATATATTTAGCGAATTCTCGTATACAGGGTGTTTTATAAGAGAGTGAAAATTTGGTCAAGAATCTTTTTTACCGCAAATTTACGAGTTTTAAAAAATCGAAAATTCTACCAAGTACGAGTAATCTGTATTGAAACTAGAAAAAACAATTTGATTGGTTTTTAATTTTTCTTGTTTTAAGGAAAATTGAAAACTATTTTTCGAAAAATATGCATTTTTAGTCATACGTATGGTCCTAAGTGGTACAAAAAGCTTTGTACATTCTGCATATGCCAAAAAATTATTGATATAGAGTGTATCTAAAAGCAGATAACTAATGCAAGTTAAAAAATACTTCAACGTCAGAATAATATTTTTATTTATAAAATAAGTAGATAAATTATAATAAAATTTAAATTTATTTAATATTAAATATATTTTTTGAACACCCTGTATAAATCGGTCCAAATTTCTTTACAGCTAGTTTAAGATACACGCTATATCAATATATCGTGGGCCTATGCAAAATGTACAATGCCTTTTGTGCGGTTTAAGACCAAATGTATGACTATTGTTTACAGTCCCACAATTTTGCCGATCCGCGGAATTGATTGCTTTAATCCCGCGGGTTTGTGGGATTGAGATTTTGGTGCGGTTTAGGTTTGGTTAGGTTTCCCTAGTCGTTTAGCTACTTTACCGTTTACCGAGAGGAAACATCTTATTTTTATTTACACCTTTCTTTTTTTTCTTCTGGTATAATTTAATTTACCGGCCAAATGCCAAAATTTTCGAAGTGATTTCCACGCTTAATTTCAACGTTAACACCTTAAAAATTATTTAGAATCATAAAAAAGGCTCCCTTCTAAAAACACAAGGATTTTGGTAGCTCGACCGGACTATTGGCTTATAAAACGCTTATGTCTAACCACAATTTCTCTAGACGGATGATAATCAAAGGCCAGTGACATTCCTCGCAAATTTTGAAGTATAATTAGTAGAAAAATTAAAAGTTTGTTAACTTCTAACAATTTTGACGTTCTGAATGTTTACATTGAAATTAGAGGAACAAACTGCTACGCTAATTAAAACTGCTACGCTAATTATTAACTGTTAATTGTTCCACTAATTTTGAGGTTCTGAACCAGGCTTTTGTGTTGCATATGTTACGGCTAAAATGGATACTTGGCTAGTTTTTAAACTAGCCAGCTGTTTTGCAAAAAGCGCTGTTATTTTGTTGGTTAGGTGTTAGTTTGCGGTGGTGGTTGTGCTCTTTATCTGCAAAGTAGCTGGCTAGTTTGAAAACTAGCCAAATATCCATTTTAACCTTAACATAATATACACAAAGTATACTTTTTATTAACTATAGCTTGGATAGCCCTGTTGATAGATCCACCACACTTTTCCCAGTTTTCGTGTATCTTTTTTACCAGATTTCCATTAAATTTTGAAACATGTTCTACTATGAACTGTTTTGCGTGGTCTGTTAACTGTCCCGGTTAATTTTGCCACCATTCTATCCATTTGTTGGTTAGGTATCTCATATAAGTTTATATGCACATTTTCATAGTTCTTAACTTAATATATTTTAATTAAGGTTGTTATAAGAAATAATGTAAATAAACTTTCAACATGAACTTTTATATTTGGAAAATAAAAAATATAACATTTACAAACACGTAAGCTAATGTACTCAGCGAACAGACAAGTGCTTTCAGCTTACAGAGAAAATAGTCTGCTTTTGTCTCGGAAGATAAGCGCTTTCCAATCAAAATATTACCATTTTCTCTCACGATTTCACCCGGGGTTGTCACATCGATCGCAAATCCACTCCAGGAAATTCCTTTGGGAAACTTTATTACGGATCTGTTTCATTTAGCAACGTGCTATTTGGGGACACGCCATTTGTCTGATAGATTTTATTAATTTGAATACATTTGCCTTATTTATCGTTAAAAATGCTTTTATTAAATTAATTAGTTCTTAATTAAAATATAAGAACGAAGCGATCCAAAATGACTGAAATAGTTGCTGAAAAAGTTCAGCAAAGTATGTCAATTCACTGACGTCAATTTTTTGAGGATTTTTTTTCTTCTTGTAAATTTCCAGGTTTTGACGTTGTCATTTATTAACTCGGAATTTTCTTCAATATAAAAATGACTATTTTTCAATTTAACTATACAGGGTAATTCTTAAATATTTACAAATTTTAGTGGCAGTATATTTCGACCCCAGAAACACGTCTATTAGGTATTTTTCGATAAAATAAATGAAATTTTAAAATTTTTTAAAAAAAATTTGGATTTTTTTTTAATGATCATATAAATAACATAATTCCTTGATAATATAGATAGATTAAATTTACAAGAAAGAAAGCCTAGAAAAGATCCAGTGGTTATCAAAATTTAAGCAAACATTTTTTTTTAGAAATTGTCAAAGTAAAATATTTCAGTTATTTTGGACTTATTTGAAAAACGGTAAAGAGAAAATATGTTTCTTTTATCGAGATCTATCAGCACTGAAAATATTTGCACTTATTTAAGACTTACCCTGTATATCGATTATTCTTCAGTATCTTTTTTTTAGATTATACAACAAATCGAATGAATAAAGAAGTGTGAAAAACAACATTTTAATGAATGAGTCACGTATATCCCTGCTGTCAAATGTGACAGATCAGAACCACGATCGACAAAGAAGTATCAACGAAACTGAAGAATATACCACCGAAAATGTGACTATTACTTTTAATGAGAACAGACTATGGCAGACCGAAAACGAAGCTGAAGAAAACAGAGGTAAATTATATTTTTAAAAATAATATTGTAAATAATAACAAGTTAGTGTTGTATTTATATTTCAATGTATTGCACTGTGCACCACTAATGAATTGCAAAAATAAAACTCAGGACAAAGCAAAGTCGGTTTTATATTATTATTTTTTTACAAATTTTCGAAATTATTCGGAATATTTTAATTTTTAAATTGTCATTTTGTTGCACGTAAAATGCCGAAACTACCTTAATTTAACTTTATTTATATCTATTTTACAATTGCCGAGATTTCAACCTTCACCTTCGAATTTCGGACACCCTGTGCACTTCTAAAACTAATTTTTACTTCCAAATACAAGTATATTTCGTATATTATATATAACTAAAACAATATTAACCGCACTGAAACGAAATACCTGTTAAAACTTGTTAAAAGAAAAATTCTCAGAAACGATAGCCAAACTTTTAAAAGGAAATTCCAAGGAAAACAAGTTGTTTATTATTTTTCTTTCCACTAGAAACCTTCAATTACCGGTACAAATCTTCGAACTGGCGGGTTTAGATCGATTTATCTCGTTGTTTCTAATTCCAAACTTTTCGAAAAGATTCCCTAACGCCGGCCGTCTAAACGCTTTTCCGTAATTTTAAAATTTATTAGATTTGTAATTTAAAAAAATCACAAATAGATTCTGATATACGAGTACTAAACACCTAAATAAAATTTACCTACTAGAAAGTAAACAACGAGTCAAATAATCAAGTATTGATTTAGTCTGCTTTGATACAAGATATGCTATTCCAATTTAGCTAAAATATTAATTATTTAATACGGTCTTAGTTTTGATTCTTGACAATATCATTTTCTCTCCAAAAAATATTTTCACTCTATAAGGTGGCTCAAAAAAGTGTGAGTGGATTGGGATGATTTTTTTAATGGGACTCCCCTTGTATATTATTGCATTTTTGGCTTCCTTTCAGATCATTTTACATAATCCTAAAATTTGAGTTAATATGGTTCGATAGTTTCAGAGATATTACTAAATAAATAAAAAATATATATTTGCCAGCCTTTCTTAAAAAAAATTATTGAAAATAGAAGAACTGTCCTGAAATCAAAATATTAGGTATAAAATGACTGAATAAAAAATATTAGGGTAATTGCTTTAGGTGGTCTATACTTACTTTGCTATAAATATCGTAATCTTAAATCATATAGGGTGTTCAAAATTCTACGCCAAACTTTCGAAAATATAATATATATATTTTCTTCCATTTTAAATAGAACACCCTGTACATTATTTTTTTAATAGATGGAGAATTAAAAAATGAACAGTTTCTGTATATGTTTTGTAAAATGCAGTAATATACAAGGTGTTCCATTTAAAAAAATATCCCGATCCGCTGACACTTTTTTGAGACACCCCAAAGAAGTTAAAATATTTTCCTGAAATACATCCTCCTATACATTTTAGATTTACACTTAAACAAAATTCTCAAGGATTCTATGGGCTACAGATGCCCGACACACTATTGCCGGACCCTGTATAATTCAAATGAATATACAATAAAATTATACCTTCGCTAAACATTTATAAGTGTAAAACAATTATTGTATTAAATTAAAAATGAAGAAAAATATCTAGTGAATAAGCGACATTAAAATATAAATTGTGTCACTTAAAGAGTGGAACAAATAAATACAAATATACCAATTAACGAACTAAATATTCTCACAAAGATTAAATAAATCATGAGCATGAACTGTTGCCAATTATTTTTAAATGTTTCTGACAAGAAAACTGACAGAATATAAGTTTTGAGTAGTTTTATTTGAATATCTCTGTTTTAGCTAAATATAGTTTTCTCGTTTTTACACCACTTTGACCCTAAGTTATCTATCTCAGTATATTAAGAAAAGATGTGTTATTTCAGATGTGACAAATGGGGTAGATGCTAATGATGGTCATGAAGGAGAAATCATTGAAATCCCACTTGAACCTTCAGAAGAAAGTAACGGTCAATCTGATGGAAATCTTTTCGAAAAGGAACCACGGAAAATGATGTTGTTTGGATTTGCTGGGAAAAAGACTATTGCACAAGGTATACAAGTTATTAGGTATAAATTAATTGTTTTCAAGTTTAAAAATACACCTAGTATGCTTCAATTTTTTTTTGTTTAATATTTGGTTAGTATCTTGTTAACAAAAAATATTGGAAATATTTTTTAGAAATTTAAAACATATGATTAATCAATTAATAAATTGGTTTGCCTAGAACGCCTAATAAACATATTTCTTAAATCTACAAATGATATTCTGCGGAGCAAGCAACAATGATTGAAATAGTTGGCTTTCTGATTTTGTTCGTTTGGTTGGTAATAGTGCTGTGTCGGTATTTGAGTAACGCGATTTTGGAGCGGTATTTTTTTGTAACGTCGTGTCGCGCTCCACAACGAATCAGGAACTTGTTACTGAAGAACGACGATCATAATGACGACAAAATTATAAATTATTTATAATTCGCAAATAAATTATTTATAATTGCACTTGAAGTTAGCTCGAACCGTAGTAACCGCATAGCGACGTGTTTAGCTCCAGCCGTCGCGATTTCGTCGGTCGCCAACAGTAGTATCGGGAACTGGTATGTCCGTAGTGCCGCGCGATCTCGATCGGGACGGGTTCGCTCCAGCGGTCGCGCTCCTAGAGTTGTAGTTCCCTGTCGCGAACAGAAGTAACTGCTGTAACTGGGCATCGACGCTCGACCTCGGCGGCGACCTACTTCGCTCCAGCCGTCGCGCTCCTAGAGTTCTAGCTCCCTGTCGCATGGTATAAAACAGTGTTGTTTGAAAGATTAAACGCAAAAGCAAACAAAATAAAATAAAAATATTTTATTTGCTTTTATACATTTATATAAGTTTTATTGTTTATACCTATTTTTAAGGTTAGGTTAGACTAATAAACAATTTTTTTGACAGTGGTTTGGACTTTGTTCTTGATTTTAACATTAAATATATTATATTGCAATACACATAAATATGAGCCGTTCATTTTATTTAAACGAAAATTGATAAAGAAAAAAAAATAACAAGGAATCATCGTTTTTTTCTAAAAATGAGATAGATTGGCTATACACAATTATAAACTCGATATTTGGAAAATGAGTGGCGGATAAAACATTAATCTACAAATATAGATAAGTTAGATATATTTTTAGCGAGGACCGCAACAGTTTGGATGTCGGAACTTCGGTTACAAAATCGCGGTATTTTGTCGCGGTTTTTTTCTGGAACGGTCGCTATTGTAACGCGACTCATGTGGAACCGGTATTCCCATCACTAGTTGGTAATAAATTTAAGAAATTCTAATATATAATAAAATACACTTGAAATCAGTAGTAAGAAGTTCTACATATTGTTCTACATGAAATAGTTGTTATAGAACCAAGACAATATTTGAAAGTACCTATTACATGTGTCTACTTGTAATTGACAGTCGATGAATAAAAATAGTTGTTTGACAGAGTTTAACAGAACCGTGTGTTGTTTTTCAACATTATTTGTATTATACAGGGTCCGGCAATAGTGCGTCGGGCATCTGTAGCTCCTAGAATAAAAAACTTGAGAATTTTGTTTAAGTGCAGACCTAAAGTATGTACCAGGATGTACTTCGGGAAAATATTTTAACTTCTATAGGGTGGCTCAAAAAAGTGTGCGTGGACCTGGATGGTTTTTTTTTAATGGATCACCATGTAAATTATTGCATTTTTGGCTCCCTTTCAGATCACTTTACATAACCCTAAGATATGAATAAATATATTTCGATTAGTTTCAGAGATATTAAAAAATAAATCAAAAATATATATTTTTCAGCCCTTCTTAAAGAAATTATTAAAAATACAAAAACTGTCCTGAAATCAAAACTATATTAGGTATTTGCATTAGATGGTCTGTTCTCACTTTGCTATAAATATGATAATCGTAAATCATACAGGATGTTCAATATTCTACGCCAAACTTTCTAAAATATAAAATATTTTTTCTTTGTTTTTTTTAAATGGAACACCCTGTATATTATTGTTTTATTAGATGGAGAGTAAAAAAATGAACATTTTTTGTATTTAGAGTACCGTAAAATGGGGTTACTTGGGACAAATTCACTATAATTTTTTTAGCCATGTTATAATTTATAAAAGTTTTTGTGAAGACAAAACAACAGTTTATGTGTAGAAAATGTCCTTCATATGTATTTAACCTGTAAAGCATCATATATGGTTCCTAATGTAAGAATAATTATAAAAAAACTAACATATTTACTGTCCCAAGTTTCCCCGCACTGGGGTTAAATGGGACTGTAACGGTTTTATACCGAAAATGCATGTTAAACTACTCACGGGTTACTTGGGACAGCAGAAAAATAAAAAAAAATACACTAACACATATCTTAAGTTGAATTTTTTTTCTCAGATAATTATTTAGAGGAAAGGAAAATTCGATTTAACGTAAACTTATTAAAAATAATTATTTATTCATTAGAAAATGTAACAATTCTTCAATAAACATAATAGGAACAAAGTCTTACGATTTGAATCGTAAGGACAAGAAGGAACTAAAAACATTTTGTAAACACAAAAAAAAATAGATGCATTCTTCTTATTGTAGCCAATCAGTATTTTCTAATCCATTAAATGTATGGCGACCTCTAGTAATGCTCACGTCCTCTGCTTTAGCACTCTCACAATTTTATCCTCTGTGATATCATACTCATCAGCTAAATCTGGGTACACAAAATGTTTATTGTTTTTCGTAGATTTTCTCATAAAACCCTCTGATAATTTCGTCTTCTTCCTCTTTTTTCAGAACTGTATGTCTTCCATATCTTTCTAAATTCTGATTTTTACATCTTCTCTGTAAAGTTGATTTGGTTACCTTCCATTTGTCAGCCTCTGTTTTATAGGACATTCCAGATTGTAGGTACGTCTTCTATGGCACTTTCCATATTTTTTTCTTCAAAGTCATGATATTTTTAGAGCCTACTTTGCGAATGCGAATATAATTTCTTGGTATGTGGAGCCCTGAAAACAAAATCGATTAAATAACATGGGGTAACTTGGGCCAAGGGCTAAGTTAGGACAATAGTTGACCCAAGTTACAACCCAAACCAAACCATGACTTTTTTTAAAAAATATATTTTACAATCTAAAAAATGATCTAAACGCGGGCAATGACATTGGTATTATTTATGAAACATAAAAAACTAACTAAGAAATGTAATTGGACTTACCTGTTTACTTTTTGACTGCCTCTTACAGATAAAGTTTTCGACCACTTATTTTTAGCTTGCTTCCCACCACCCACTTATTTTTTTTATATAAATAAAATACTATCACTTTATATAGAGTTCGTTTAATTAAATCATCAACACATTGTTCTTTAACGAACCAAAACATTAAATTAAGATTATGTTTATATTTGCGTTGTTCCCGCCATTTAAATTAATAGAAAAACCGAAGTTGCGTCCCAAGTAACCCCGACGTCCCAAGTAACCCCATTTTACGGTATTTCAAAATTCTTAACGATTTCGCAAATACACGCAGTTATTATTTCATATGGCGCTTTCAATGGTAAAATATGAGAGAAAAATCATTGGTTGGCTTTGATAAAAATTTACTGTGGAAAATGCCATATGAAATATAAAACCGCAAATATCTGCGAAACCGTTCAAAGTTTTGAAATACTCTAAATACAAAAAAAATGTTAATTTTTTAATTCTCCGTCTATTGAAAAAATAATATACAGGGTGTTCCATTTAAAAAAACCAAGAAAAATTATTTTATATTTTAGTAAGTTTGGCGTAGAATTTTGAACATCCTGTATAATTTACGATTTTCATATTTATAGCAAAGTAAGAACAGACCATCTAATGTGAATACCTAATGTAGTTTTGATTTCAGAAAAGTTCTTGTATTTTTAATAATTTTTTTAAGAAGGGCTGAAAAATATATATTTTTGATTTATTTTTTAATATCTCTGAAACTATCCAAATATATTTATTCATATCTTAGGGCTATGTAACGTGATCTGAAAGAAAGCCAAAAATGCAATAATATACAGGGTGTTCCATTTAAAAAAAATCATCCAGGTCCACTCACACTTTTTTGGGCCACCCTATAGAAGTTAAAATAATTTCCTGGAATACATCCTGGTACATACTTTAGGTTTGCACTTAATCAAAATTCTCAAGTTTTTTATTCTAGGAGCTACAGATGCCCGACGCACTATTGCCGGACCCTGTATATACTATAATATTATCACACAATATCTTTATAAATTTTAGCCCTATGTGTTATTATGATGTATAAGCTCTTCAAGGTAAGTCTTAAATAAGTGCAAATATTTTTAGGAGTAATATATTTCAACCCCAAACACGATTATGAGTTTTTTTTTCGCGAAAAGTTTTTTTGAAAGTTTAGAATTTTTTGAAAAAAATTTGGTTTTGTTTTTAGTTTTTAGTTCAAAAACGCAATTTCTTGACAATATGGCCACATAGGTAGTAGCTTAAATTTACAAGAAAAAAAGCAGGTAAGATCCAGTAGTTCTCATTTTCTTCTAGTGGGCCGATTTTGATAGGAGCTTACTACTACAATTTGTAGCTAAATTATTGAACTTTTTAAAAATTAAATTAAAAATGAAAGTTATCTATCTGTCAATTATACAAGGGAAAACAAAATGTTTATATTTTGATAAAAGTTTGAAACACCCTGTAAAATATGTTATCAGAGCAAAGAATTTGAAAATAATTTTACCATCTAGGTACGTTGTTTCACGAGAGTTTGCTTTTTAAATCATACTCCACAGGGTGTTTCAAACTGTCACCAAAATTTCAACATTCTGTTTCCCCTTGTATAATTGACAGATGACAACTGTCATTTTTAATTTAGAAAGAGATACTAAAAAGTCAAATAATTTAGCTACAAATTTCTTAAAAAATCATCAAAATTGGCCCACTAGAACACTATACATAAAACTTTAAAATAAATCAAAATTTTAAGGTGCTCGTTTTTAGTGCCGGTGAGTGTATATTGGCTACATTTACAAATCAATTTTTAGAGTAAAACTAGTATTATGATACGTTAATACGCATTTTATAATCAAAATTTATTAGGAGCAAATAACCTAGTCTATTTTAGAAAAACTTCAGATTAAATCCATTTATTTCTCGTCTCGATTGGATTAGTCTCACATTGTTAATGAAAATGATTTTAAATATCCTCATCAAATTAATCTTTTTGACATTTGGTTTGTTTTGCTAAGCCACAAATGGTGAACAGTCGGTGAATATTCGAATTTCTTAAATTTATTGCCAACCAAACGAGCAAAATCAATAGTCAACGATTTCAGTCAATGTTGATTGCTCCGAATTTTGACGTTTCTATAATTTTTATTCAATCACTCGCTTCTAACTAAGATTTTTCTTCAAACCTTCTTGAATTACAAAAAAAATAAAGATATGTCTCATTTGCAGGAATGATGGACATCGCTCTGATTACGGCCAACGCCAATCAACTTCGCTACGTGCTGGAGTTCAGCAAAAAAAGTTTCACCTATCGCCTGTCCATCACCCTCATATCTTTATCTCTGCTGCTTCAAGTGGCCGTCGGCCTATTCCTCATTTATAAGGGCCGGTTCGACGTTAAGGGCGAATCGAAATCTGTCAACGCAAAAAAAGTCAACAACTACGTGTTTATGTGCGTTTTTCTGATCACTATTCTTAACGTGTTTATCGCTAGTTTTACGGTTATGGAAAACGATAACGGTCTGATAAAACCAAGCACACCATAATACGTTTGTTTATATCAATGTAATATAAGTACAGGGTGGACCATATTGGTTGTTTCTATAGAGTATCTAAAAAACCATGAGAAATATTCAAATTTTGATATTGCAGTCTCGGGTTCTTTTTTTTGATAAATTACAATGGCGCAAACGGATCGTGGCTATCTTGATCGGTTTCGAAGCTACAGGGGGATTCTCAAATTTTGTACTTTCTGAAGATGTTTGTTAGTTTGGTTATTTCAGCAACCATAGAAAAATTAACTATACATTATAAAGGCACTTTTCTGTGTAAAATGCAGTGGCGTAGTCAGACATTTTTCGAAAAAATATTTTTTGAGATATTAACTTATTACTTATATATTTTTTTTAAATAGAACCCCCTGTATATTTTTAATTTTTCTTATTCAGCTTGGCATGGGATTCTCGAAAATATATACCACTCCATATTTATTTTCACTATTAACCTCAACATTTCAAATTTTTCTTAAATTACCCACTTAGTAGATAGTAGGCCGCGCCGAGCAACAAAGTAAACGGTTGTCATGGTGATCGGAACATACCTTTGATGGATGCGGGACATTTCATTTCAACAGATTGAAGTGTATGTAATTTAAATAATAAAAAAATTAGTAAATTTGCCGTAAAATACCGCTCAAAATATAAATCAGCTGCCATTTGCTTATGTTTGTTAGATTCAATATAACATTCTAACACATTATATTTCTCAAAGTTTTCAAATTTACTAAGTTTTTTATTATTTAAATTACACATACATCAATTTGTTGAAATGAAATGTCCCGCATCCATCAAAGGTATGTTCCGATCACCATGACAACCGTTTACTTTGTTACTCGGCGCGGCCTACTATCTACTAAGTGGATAATTTAAGAAAAAAATGAAATGTTGAGGTTAATAGTGAAAATAAATATGGAGTGTTATATATTTTCGAGAATCCCATGCCAAGCTGAATAAGAAAAATTAAAAATATACAGGGGGTTCTATTTAAAAAAATATAAGTATAGTTAATATCTCAAAAAATATTTTTTTCGAAAAAAGTCTGACTACGCCACCGCATTCTACACAGAAAAGTGCCTTTAGAATGTATAGTTAATTTTTCCGTAGTTGCTAAAATAACCAAACTATCAAACATCTTCAAAAAGTACAAAATTTGAGAATCCCCCTGTAGCTTCGAAACCGATCAAGATAGCCACGATCCGTTTGCGCCATTGTAATTTTTTCAAAAAAAGAACCCGAGAGTGCAATATCAAAATTTGAACTGTACATATATCTAATTTTATTGTTAAATGTGTATTGATTTGTAAATAAATATTCTGAACATTATAGTTTTATTTTTTTTTTCATTTTCAACAATTAATTTTACCCACTAAAACCGCAACCTACAAAGAATTGCTTTTTGTTGGTGAATACAGTTTATGAATTAGTAAAGAGCTACTGAGATAAGTTTAGTGGCGACGTGTGGTCCAATAGGCCCCCATACACCAGAAGATCGATGGAATGTGCGACTAAAAGCCTGTCGTATTTTAGACAGCGGACCGGGCTTACGGACTTGGCCTACCGATTAAATATTCTTCTATGGGACAAAATTCGACATTTTATAGCAGTTTCTATATAGGGTGATTCATGGCGATGGCACGTTAGGCGTTTACGAAGAACCGATAATAATTTTTTTTGAAAATTTGGATTTTTGACAAAAATGTTTTTGTCAATTTTACACATATCTTATTTTTTATCTAGAAAACTATTAGAGAATGGTATAGGTTAGTATAATAGAAAAATTTTGAGATATGGAAGTAGTTTCGAAAAATATAACATATCGGGTGTTTTACTTAAAATAACAAGATGCCTCCACCATCAGTATGGAGCGGTAACACTGTAATGCTGAAAATAATTTAAACGGATCTAGCCAGGTGCCTATATGTAAAATCCTCGTAGCACGTCTTCAGTAGAACCATTTCTCAATAAACGTTTAACGTGCCATGGCCGTGAATCACCCTGTATAGGTAAATGTTTATCGGAATAAAAACTGTTCTCAGAAAGACGGAGCGTTACAAGCCCGCTGACTTTATTCTTTCTTTTATAGACCAATATAATTTGACAGATCAAGTCTGCGGATTTGGCCTGTGGTAGGCTTGTTTATAGCCAAAAGCATAGCCGAACTTGGTCCGCCCCATAAAGCAAAGTTTTTATCCGCAGGCCAAGTCCGCAGGCCAAATTCGTAGGCCAAACGTTCTGGTTGGGCTATTAGTTTTAGGGTGCAGAAATTTAGAAAACAAAATTGTCACGCGATTAAGTCCAAAAAAACAAAATTAGTTTTATAATATTAAAATATGAAGTAAAACTATTTCATATTTTAGAAAGTTTGGCATATAATTTTGAACACCCTGTTTGGGTTAAGACAACGAAATTTATAGGAAAGTATAGTAAATATATCTAGTATAGTTGTGATTTCAGAACATTTCTTGTATTTTTAAATTTTTGAAACGGTCAAAACATATTTCGTAATATTTTAGGACTACGTAAAGTGATCAGAACAAAAGCCAAAAATGCAATAATGCTTCTAAATCTAATAAAAATCATCCCGATTCACTCACATTTTTTGAGCCACCCCGTAAAACGTTAAAATATTTTCATAAAATACATCCTAGTACATGCAGTTATACACAATTCCTAAGGTTTTTTTATTATAGGAGCTACAGATGCCCGATGCACTATTGCTGCACACTGTATATCACCCGCATAGTCAATATTTTCTAGACTTCTTGTGATGGTTTCGAAAATTCTGCGTCCCAGATCGTTGCTCTGGCGCATAATCTAATCAAATCTAATGGTCAGCCTTGTTTTACTTCGTTTTGGATCTATTTTGTAAGTTTTCATTTATAAAATACTCTATACAGGGTGAGTTTCCTACGATGTTCTCTATGGGAAACTACTAGAGATAGAGAGTCGGTTAAATGGGGAAAGAACTGCAGTTTTGTGGGGTCATAAATATGCGTCTTTCAGATTGCTGAAAAAGTTCATGGCTTACTAGATATTTCGAAAAAAAAACAAATTTCGGCTATTTTAAAAATTGTCCCTAATTCCATTATAAGGTATTTTAGACAAAAAGTTTTCAGATAAAAGTTGTGGATAATCACATCTTTAATGAGACTGCGTCCTGCTTTTTTTTCTAAAGCCTGTCATTTTTGACATATGAAAAAACAACATGTTTTTTTTTAAATGGAAACCATAGTAGGCCATGACTTATAAGATATAATATGTTTTCTTCGAAAAATTACTGAGTTATAGCCAATTCTTATCATTTTTAAACAATTTCAGTTAGTTAACCATGGAAACAAGTTTAATCGTCTTTGGTCTCATAAATGTGAAGCTGTTACATCCAAATTTTGTAAATTAAAATAAACAAAAATTGTTAATATTATTTTTTTTTTGAATTTAAAGTAAAGAAAATATTTGAAGTTAACGTCTCCTTTTTGCTGCCATTGCTAATCTGGACGGGGCCTACTTTGTTTAGCGGAATCCGAACCGCGGTCCTCGGCCATATCACGGTCAATGGCCTACCGACTTGGCAAATGTCTAAATCGACTCTTACTTACTCACGAGATATCCGATCTCATCCGGCCTCGAACCGGCGTGAATGAACAATGTGTGTCAATAGATTTTACACCTTTGCCTTTATTTGACAACAGCACGATACAGAGTTTCGAACTGGTGACCCGTCCATCCACTAGTTTCGCCTTACGTCGCTTAACTTCGGTGTTCTAATGGGGACCGGTGTTTTGACGTAGCTGGGCCGTTACCCTAAATGATGAAAAGCGTGTAGGATTATTGGTTCAACCTTTCTTGACCATACATTTTCGAGGATACGTTGACCGGTGAATGTTACGTTTTTTAGAGAACGGTTTTTAAGACATGTTAGAAAAGTTAAATTTAGTTATAGCCAATTTTTATCTTTCTTGACTAATTTCACTTAGATTGCATGGTATTCTTATTCTGTTATGATTTATAACTTATAAAAAGTCAGAATATATTACTAAACGGTTCTTTACAATTTACATTACACAAACTAAAACTTAAAAAAATAATATCACTACATACACTTTAAGTTATTTTAGAAAATGTTCAAAAAATCCGCCATTGTTTTGAGTCGCATCTTTTTAAAAATGAATTACTACCTATTCTCATAGAAGGACCGGTCGACTTAATTAAACTTTTCTCGTACCGCCACTTCTAGCGCCTCTTTTAATTCATAAGTTCTTTTGTAAACCTTATTGTTAACTATACGGCATAAAAAATTCTAAAATGGATAGGTCAGGTGATCGGGGAGGCCCACGCAATTAGTCCACCTCTTCCTATCCCTGCGTTTGTATAATTATGATATAAATAATTTTTAACATTTCTCTCGTTATGGGGGTGGGGGGTGGTGTGTCATAATGAAAGTCATGTTGGAACAACTCTATTGATGCGCGAGTATCTACACGCTTTTCTTCATTTGAAAAATTCATATTTACAATTTTTGTTTATTTTAATTTACAAAGTTTGGATGTGACAGCTTCACATTTGTGAGAGCAACGGCGATTGAACTTGTTTCCATGGCTAACTAAGTGAATTTGTTTAAAAATGATAAGAATTGGCTATAACTCAGTAATTTTTCGAAGAAAAGATATTATAGCTTATATCAATAAAAAGCTTAAAAATGGCGCTTTTTATGAAGTCATGGCCAACTATGGTTTCCATTTAAAAAAAACCTATGTTTGTGTTATATGTCAAAAATGACAGGTTTTAGAAAAAAACGGAGGACACAGTCTCATTAAGGATGTGATTATCTACAACTTTTATCTGAAAACTTTTTGTCTAAAATAGTTTATAATGGAGTTAGGGACAATTTTTAAAATAGCCGAAATTTGTTTTTTTCGAAATATCTAGTAAGCCATGAACTTTTTCAAAAATCTGAAAGGCTTATATTTATAACCCCACAAAACTGCAATTCTTTCCCCATTTAACCGACTCTCTATCTTCAGCAGTTTCCGAGATACCCATAGAGAACATCGTA